CCCCAGCAGCAGCAGCACCAGTGTCCAGGCCAGAGACAGCGAGAGGCCAGGGGCAGCGCTGCTCCTGTCATCGCTCTGGTCACTGCTCCGGCTGGGCGGCGGCAGGCCGCAGGCGGTGTAGGGCTCCAGGCAGCCGGCGAAGGCCATGAAGTGCGCGATGTAGTTCTGCTCCTGCACGCCGTGCATGAGGTGCGCCTGCGGGCCACGCGCGAACACCGCCACGTCCTCGCCGCCGTGGGTCTCCGAATGCACTGGCACGGCCGCCTGCTGCAGGTAGTTGGGGTCGCCTGTGGGGACACAGCGGTCAGCACAGTTGGGCTCTCCCAGCTCCTCTCTGCCCTTGAACCCCGGGTACCCCCCTCACCGCTCTCCTCCGCAGTGACGTTGGGCCGGGGTCCTTTGTCCCCGATGTAGCCGGGGCCGTTGCCGTACAGAATGGAGGTGTAGGTCTTGCCGTCCTCAGCCAGGCGGGGGGCCAGCCCTGCAGGGGGAGGAGAAGTCACTGCTCGGGCTCCTGTGCATCCCCCCACCCCCCACTGTTAGCCGGGTCCCGGGCTGAACCCCCCCTAAGATCTGTGCAAGCAGCACTACCATCGGTGAGTCCATTGGACGGATGAGGAAACGGGCTCACAGAGCCTTACCATCAAATCAGCCACAGCCCCCGCCGTCCCAGGCCTACCGAAGATGGAGGTCCCCCGCAGGGTGTAGCCCCCAAACGTGAAGACGTGGGAGTGGTCCGCGGTGACGAGGGTCAGGGTGTCCTGCTCGCGGGTGAGCTGGCCCGCCTTGTCGATGGAATTGTCGAACATGACAGCCTCGTGCAGTGCGCGGTAGGCTGAGCCCTCATGGTGACCACGGTCGATGCGGCCCCCTGCGGGAAGAGGGGAAAGCTGCCGCCTGCTCCATTTCCGACGCCCCTCCCGGCCTGTGTGCCCCAGGCGCCCCCTCACCCTCCACGAAGAGGTAGAAGCCGTCGGGGTTCCTGCTCAGCACGCGCACGGCTGCCTCTGTCATCTCCGCCAGGGAGGGGTCCAGCTCAGGGTCTCGGTAGATCTCGAATTTCGTGTCCACGGGCTCAAAGAGGCCTGAGGGACAAGGGACCCAGGGTGACTGCCAGGTGGGGCACACAGGGGTCACGGCACACACCTGCAGGGCGGGAGGGTCTTACCCATGAGATATGTTACCGAGGGGTCCTGGGACGCCTGCAGGAGCTCTGTGCGGTTCCACAAGTACCGAGAGCCCTGCGGGGACAGCCAGGCCTCAGCCCCTGCCCAGCCCCGCATCCCCGGCCCCACATCCTGCCCGGTGCACCCGTCACCTGGTGTTTCGACAGCCACTCCTGCACCAGGTTCTTCCCGTCCAGCCTGACTCCCATTGAGTTAGCATCATCTGGGTACTCGGGGTCTGGGGTCCCGCTGGGGAACATGTATTTCCGGCCCCCGCCCAGGATCACCTGCGGTCAGATGAGAACAGCTGGACTCGGGGCCTGAAGGGCCACCTGTCCCCTCCTCACACAGTCCCAGCTCCCCTTCGCCGTCCCTCACAGCCCTCGGGACTCCCCCAGACACCAGTGGAGGCTGCAAGGCTCAGGTTGCTGGGTCCCTGGGACTGTGGTCCACCCCTTCTTCAAACCCTCTCCCTGCCCTTTTCCTGCCGCACATTAATGTCCATGTTGGAGATGAGCTGCGTGGCGATGTCCTGGCAGCCCTCCTGGCGCGCTGAGGCGGGCATGTCAGTGTCCGAGTACCAGTTGCGGTTCACGGTGTGGACATAGGTGCCTGCTGGCGAGGCGTGCTGGACCCTGGTGGTGGTCACAATTCCCACAGACTTCCCTGAGGGAGGCGGAGGTCAGGGGGGCCACGTAGAACTCCTGGCCACCTCTGACTCCAGTCCCAGCCCCAGCCCATCGCACCTGCTTTCTTGGCCCGGTACATCACGGAGATGACCTCGTTGCCCCAGGTTGTGTTGCACTGGTCGAAGCGGGCGGCAGCGCTCACTCCGATGGTCTTGTAGTTGGTCTTGACCCCGCACAGGTAGGCCGTGGCTGTGCTTGCGCTGTCCGGCACCTGCCTGTCCACACTGTACGTCTGCAGACAGAGGCAGCTGCAGCCGTGCTCTAGGCAGAGCCTAGTAGGTGCCCAGGCCTGAGCCCGTACCCCTGTGAGCTCCCCAGCCCCGCTCACCTTGGACAGCGCCATGTACGGCAATCGATCCATGGCCAGAGGCGTCTCTGGCCCCAGGTGGCCCTGCATCTGCCCCTTCAGGATCCTGGTGGCGGTCACTGTGGGCACCCCCATCCCTGAGGGACAGAACCCGTCAGGCTGAGCCCCAGGTTGGCCTAGCCTGGCGGTGGAGGGGGCGCCAGCCCTGCACACTCACCGTCCCCCAGGAAGAGGATGAGGTTCTTGGCTGCCGTCTGAATGGGCTGCAGCTTCTTAGCAGCCGTCAGGGCCTCGTTTGCTTTTTGGTTCCAGAAGGCCGGGTTCTCCTCCTCCACTGGCCAGGGGAGAGCGGGAGCTGGGTCAGCCTGGGGCTGGGGGCTGGACAGGCCCTTGGTGGGGGGCTTGGGGAGACGCATTACCTGGGATGATGCCATGGGTCGGCCGTAGCGTCAGGGCCAGCAGCAGCAGCAGCAGCAGAAGCGCCCGGGCTCCCTGCATGTCTGGCGTGGTGCGGGTGTGAGGCTGGGACAACAGAGAACCAGCTCCTGCTCACGCAGTCACTGCTTAAATAGGGGAAGACTTTGTTCCCTCCCCTCATCTGGGCCACCCTGGCCTGCCCCGGCCCTGTGAGCCAAAGCCCTGTGTGTTTAGGGAAGGGTCAGTGAGGGCAGGCCAGCCGGCTAGGGCCGAGGCCGCTGCGTGATGGGCCCAGGCCCATGTGGGTGGGGACTCCGGCCTTTGTGCCGCTTGAGGCTGTCCACTCCTCTGCTTACACCCATCAGTCCTTCCTGCACCATTTTTTATTATTCCTGAGAGCTAGCTGGGGCAGCCTCTGCTCTGGAGCTGGAGGGAGGTGGGGCTTGAACCACACAGCTGGGCCGCTAGCTGGGTGTGGCCTCTGATGCCTCAAGCCCCGAGCACAAGGGGACAGGGGCTGCCCTGCCGCCCATGTGGCCTGTCCTCAGTGACCTTAGTGGCCCTGCAGGCTCAGGGCTGGAAGGGACTGTGCTGTGGGTGGAGTGAGCAGATGGGGTCCGTATCAACTGGGGGCCGGTGTGTGTCTCCGGTTACTGTGGGGGCCGGGCCAGGCCTGCCCAAGATCTCAGCACGTCCGAGCCGGATCTGGAACTTCCAAAGCTGAGCTAACTAAACTCTTTTGTTTGCACATTAGCTACCTTCATGTCTTTCGTTATTGCCGTGGAAAATGGATGAATACACCGAGAGTCCATCCACGCATGAGCGAATAAACAAAACGTGGTCCATCCATACCCTGGACAGTCGCTCGGCCCCGAGGAAGACAGAGACCCCGATGCGTGGGACCACGGAGGTGAGCCTTGAGAACTTTATGCCGGTCACAAAAGGACAGATACTGCGTGACGCCACTGCACGAGGTACCAGCGGCGTGAAATCCCTAGAAGAAACACAGGGTGCCAGGGGCTGGGAGAGCAGACGGGGAGCTGCTGTTTTGTGAGTGCAGGGTCACAGCTCCTCAGGATGACATCGTTGTGCAGGTCTGTCCCACGCGGTGTGAACGTCCTCAGCACACAGGGACCTCTCCCTGCCTGTGGCGACCCCGCACTGCTCCGTCTGTGCTTTGTCTCTGTGCTGTCGGGAAACTCTATTTCTCTAAGTGTATAAAGAAATGTTTTTACTCCCATGTACTAATTACATATATCTATAGGGTAGAGAGCGATACTTTGATCCTCAGTATAGCTTGGAATGAGGAAATGGGAGTCATTAGAATTTTAATCTCCTTTTTTTAGGAAAGGAAACTCTTGGCTAAAGGTCAGGGGTGATTAGCTACTGGGCGAGCCCTTAATGAATTGTTTCTTTCTCCGCCTTGTTTTTTCTTTACCAGCCCACAGGTTAAAGGTTCAGGACTCCATCATGGGTCCCGGCCTTCACAGGGCCATATTGGAACTTTGTGTCACTGCAGAGCCTGGGGCAGTTCTAGGAACAGCGGAGCCACCTGGAGCACCTGCTACCCTCACACCGTATCATTTCTAACAAGTTATAGCCACCTGCTTTCTTCTGGGTTTTTCCTCAGGCCCATTGCCCAGAGAGCAGCAGCCCCCTCTGTGATATCGTGTTGTGCGGGTGGACACACTGCCCGGCCAGTTCAGGTCTCCAGTGCTGACGGCTCTTCTCAGCCTTCACAAGAGTCTGGAGGTGTCCCGGGCCTGGGCAGTGCCACCGTGTCTGTGGTGCCCTCTTCCGCACCTTTACAACTTGCTCAGTCAATGGGTTCTTCTGTCCTTGGAGAAAAACCCAGGGACCTCATGAAGTAAGCACACAGTGTGACATCTTGGCTGCCAATGTGGCCCCACTCTCCTGCGTGGGAAATGTGACCAGAGCCTGCGACTCTGTCCAGGTGACATCTGAACAGAGCAAGCCTTGGGACATCCATGTGGTCCGCCAGACCGTGGAAATGCGCTGCCCATGGTTCCAATTATCTTCCCAGGGTTGTGGGCTGAGCCAGCCAAATATAGACTATAAGCTATTTTAGCACATTTAGAGCAAAAATCCCCACCGATATTTTTTTTCATAATATGAATCAGCTAGGCATGGTGGCGCACGCCTGTAAGCCCAGCACTGGGGAGGCTGAGGCAGGAGGATCGCTGTGAGTTCGAGACCAGCCTGGGCTACATAGTGAATTCCAGGTCAGTCTCAACTACATAGTGAGACCCTGTCTCAAAAACAAAAACAAAAAGCATAATACCTGTATTTAATCCAAGTTTTATATGAGCAGAGTCAGGGAAAGGGTCTCATTGGGTTCGGTGAAGAATGGAGGCTAAGTAGCAGTGCATTTGGAGAAAAGGACAGAGGAGGGGAACCTGATTCATCCTGATCTCTCTGTGTGACCCTCTGTCCTCCAGGGTGTGGTGCAGGAGCCTCTGGAAGGAGGAATGGAAGGGGGAATAATAACTTTTCTTGGTGTTGTGGTTCGCACAGGGGAAAGGGGCTCTAGTTTCTTTGACCCAACTTGGGGATAAGATGTGTAGAGTTTTTTGTTTGTTTGTTTGTTTTTAAGAACTGGGGACAGAACCCAGGGCTTTGCACATGCTAGGCAAGTGCTCTACCACTGAGCTGTGCTCCCAGGCATTTCAATTTTTTGTGGGGGTACTGGGGATAGAACTCGGGACCTTGCACTTGCGAGGCAAGTGGCAGAACGACTGAGCTAAATCCCCAGCCTGCCCTTTCAAGTTTTGAGACACAGTCTTGCTAGGTTGCCCAGGCTGGCCTCAAACTTGTGATCCTCCTGCCTCAGCCTCCAGAGTAGCTGATTACAGTTGTGTGCCATTGTGCCCTGCACGGGAGAGCAGAATTGTAATAAAAATGAAAGCTTTAAGGACTTGAGAAGGGCCAGGTAGTCTCCCGGCTTCTTCGTAAGTTCACACTCAAACAGAATTTACATAGAAGAATGCCGCTAAGTTTTAGAAACAAGTTCCCTCATGGCAACATTTTCATGTTTATTAGCAGAACCACATAGACTTAGCTTCTCTCTACCGCAGAAAATGATACACCAGGGTATACACTCAAAACGTATAGTCAGCAATTAAATTTTCAGGGTTTGGTTTTGTTTTGCTTTTTTTCTGTTTGTGGTGCTGGGATTGAACCCAGGCACACATAAAGCATGTTTTTACACTGAGCCCCAGGTTTCAGTATTTTAACTCAATACAAAATTAACTCAGAGTTTTCTTGAATATTTACTACTTTTTCTTTCTCCCTCTCTCTCTTTCTTTTTTCTTTTTCTTTTTCTTTCTTTTTTTTTTTTAGGCACGGTCTCACTGTGTAGTTCAGGTTGGCCTTGAACTTGTGATCCTCCTGCCTTAGCCTCTTGAATTCTGGGACTACAGGCATGTGTTCAATTAATCTGTTTTTTTGTTTTGTTTTGTTTTGTTTTTTTCTGGTACTGGGTATCAAACTCAGGACCTTGAGCTTGTGAGGCAGGCCGTGGAACCACAGCCTTGAATATGTATTTCTTTTCTTTTCTTTTTTTTTCCCTCATTGAGTTTAATGGTACATTTTAGGTATACAGACAGTTACATTCATCATTGGGATCTTGTACCTTTACATGACAGGTCTTGGTTCGCATTTTTTCCCCTTATCCCTGCCCTCCCTTCAACCATGTGTTTCTTTTTTCTTTTCTTTTCTTTCTTTTTTGGTACTGAGGATTGAACTCAAGTCCTTGTGCTTGTGAGGCAGTCACCAGAACCACTGAGCTAAATCCCCAGCCCTCTTAACATAATATAAATTTGAGATTTCAAGTCACTAACGAAGATTTTTGAACAGTGATAAATTCACTCACCTATTTTCTGCTGTTTGCATTCAGCCAATATACTTGTTCTAAGCAATTATGCTAGTCATTCATTCAAAAATGCTCACCGTGGAAGCTCAGTTAACCCATCCCCAGGACACATCATGGTGCAGAGTGGTTGGTGTGTGGATTATTTTGAGCTGAAGATGCTGAGGCAAAGCACAGAGGCTTCCTTGGTGTCCTTCCCCTGCCCGAAGAGTAGCCCTCCAGAAGGAACTCAACTGTTGTTATCACCCTATGTCTTTTTATTTTTGTTGCCAACACAAGTATCAAAAAATGTTAGCCAGGCATGGTGGAGCATGCTGTAATTCCCTGCACCCTGGGAGGCTGAGGCAGGAGAGTCACAAGTTGGAGCACAGCCTGGGCAACTTACTGATTTAGCAAGACCCTGTTTCAAAATTAAAAATAAAATAAAAGGTCCTGAGTTCCATCTCCAGTGGCCCCCCCACAGGCACAGAAGCAAAAAACATGGTCCTTCTCTTTCCTCTTTCCCCCCATGACTTACACGTGCACCAACTTCCTTTTGTTGTGTACGTGTTTCCACTTGTAGGGTGGACTCAATTTCATGGCCTTACACAACATCAGGGGGATAACACCTTGTCCAAATGCATTGTAATAATGCTGACCACTATGCCGTTTTCTTATTTTATCAATAATTTATTACCCAATATTGACCCAAAGCGCATGAACTAAAAGGCAAGTGGATTAATGAATTCATTTACTTTTTGTTATTCTAATTGAATACAAGGAACATGGTGATTTATAAAGAAAAGAGGTGCCTTTAGTTCTGGGTTCCGAGGCCCAGGCCTTGGCACTGAGGCCCTTTGAAGACCCTGTGCCAATAGCAGCGGTGTATTCAAAGGGACAGCTCACAGTGTCAGACCAGAGGCCACAGCAAGGACGGGTGCTCCCTCCTTTAAAGCAACTCTCTTTCTAAAAGGAGCTCTGAGTCCAATGACAACCACCCTAATCTCTTTCAGGGTGACGCCTTCTGTGACCTAACATCCTCTCACGGGCCCCTACCTGTTTTGTAGCCCAGGCTGGTCTTGAACTTGAGGCGATCCTCCTACCTCAGGCTCCCAAGTGCTAGGATTACAGGTGTGTGCCACCACACTCAGCCTCACCACCTCTTAAAAAAAAATTTTTTTTTTTTTGAGACTGACCTGGACTCACTATGTAGCCCAGGCTGGTCTCGAACTCACAGCGATCCTCCTGCCTCAGCTTCCCGAAAGCTGGGATTACAGGTGTGCGCCACCACACCCGGCCTCACCACCTCTTAAACTTGCCACACCGAAGACCACACTTGCGACACAGGAACACCCTGCGTTGGGGACACACCCACACGGTATCCAAACCACAGTAGCCAGTTTCTATTTATCGGAGATATTTTACAGATGATTTATACTTATCTGCTTTGTGTTACTATAATGGGACCGTCGAGGCTGGGTGCTTTATGAAGAAAAGAGGCTTACTTAGATCGCAGTTGGAGGTCCAGAGCATGGCACCCACCTCTGCTTGTCCTGTGGTGGACGGCGTCACAATGGCAGGAGCACAGGCGAGACAGGAAGCCAGAGAGTAAGAGTCAGGTCACTGCTTTATAACAACTCTCCCACAAGAACCAACCGGGGCCCTACAAAAATGACAAAATGTCTTTTGAGGGCAGAGTCCCCAACCCCTCAACAGCTCAATGACCTCCCCTAGGCCTCACCTGTCAAACACTGGAGCCAAGTTTCCAACAGAATGAATGTCACCAAGAATAAAACCAGCCCGGTCAGGAACAAAGGAAACCACATGCATGTGGGGCTGATTGGGCCGGCGGCACGGGAGACGTTAAGTTTAGCTCGCAATAATCGGGTTCCCAGACGTGGAGGAAATGGTAGCTATATTAAGACCTA